ATCATAAAGGGGTGCGGCGGAGGAGGGGGAGGAGGAGGAGGAGGAGGAGGAGGACGAGGACGAGGACGAGGAGGAGGAGGAGGAGGAGGAGGAGGACCTGTGTACACCCACGACTCCATCAACGATGCTGGAGTACACCCTCCCTCCAAGCTCTCCCTTCAAAGGCCCCATGCAAGGGCGCAGTTCACTGAGGGAATTGCCCCTTTGGGAGACATACGTGTGCAAAATCATGAAGCGTGCCAAACCACCTTTCTCAGGGCTTCAACGCCATGAGTCAACTTGACCGTTGCGTCATGATAATCCTGAGTCGTGCCAGAACGCCATTCCTGGACTTCAACACCGCGAGTCAACATAACTGTTGCGCCCTGATGGTCGCCAATCGTTCCCAAACGCCACTCATGGTACAAACCACATCTTCGCGGCGCTCGCTAAGGCGAGAGCCAATTTTGAACAGGAACCGCCGTCAATCCGTGAAACTCTTGTGCATGTTTGAAGCGACTGTGCGCAGCGCAAGGGCGAGAGCCACATTTTGAAAAGGAAGTGCCGTCACTCAGCGGAACTCTTGCTATTTTTTCAACGAGTGTGCGCGGCGCTTGGGCGAGAGCCACATTGACATGTTGAAAACCACCCGCCCTCAATCCGTGAAGCCCTTGCAAATGTTTACGACGAGTGTGCGCGGCGCTAAGGCGAGAGCCACATTTTGGATGCGACCCTCCTTCAATGTGTGAAACTGTTGCCATTGTTGAAGCTTCGGGCTTAGAAGTGGTAAGGACGTCTCCGGCGCAACGCTCGGCCCGCCCTTCCGATTGGCCTCGGGGTGCGACAGGGAGGAGTCATTCATAAAGAAAACGGATGGAGGAGGAAGAGGAGGAGGCGGAGGAGAAGGAGGAGGCGGACATAGAGGAGGAGGAATCATTTTCATTGTCTTCCTCCCTCAGGGCTCGGCCGTCTCCGCGTTCCACTGGAGGCCTCCCTCGCTCCCCACGATCACCCGCGCCGCTGACCACAAGTGATCGGGACTCAGGGAGGGATCGGAGGACTCGCGACGAGCTCTGAACCAGAAGGGTCTGTCGCAGCCGTGCGGGCGCGACCCGGCCAGCGAATGATCTAACTTGAGACTCACTCGGCACATCAATTTTGAGTGCCGCAGGTTCGCTACCTGCAGGGCCAACTCTGGCACCGCCATAGCCATCGTGCCATTAGATTTGCTCCGACGACGGTGACGGTCTCCCGCCGCATCTGCCTAGCTACCTGTTCGCTGTGCTGTCGCCCTCGCCCGCCCATCTCAACAGCCCAGCGTACTCCAGAATCCCAGCACCATGATCCGGGCCACGTTATCGCTGACGACGTTATCGCAGACGATTCGTTTTCAATCCAGGCCACGCTCAGCGAGAACGCCGGCGCTGACGGCCCACCAACCAACGGCTCACCAGCGAGGGCGCCACCGCTGGCAGCCGCACCCAGCCTCTCCCATCTCTCGCTCTTCCTCCTAATTTCCTCCTCGCGGACTGACCGCAGATATCCGTCCCAGTCTGATCCTTGCTGCCTTTTTCTCGAGAGGCCGGAGCCGCAGCCAGCTGCCTTCGGCTGGCTTCATCTTTTGCGCGCCTTCAGAAAATCCTGTCCCCTGGCGCGCGCCCGTGGCACGGGCACATCCCCCGTGTGGGGGGCCCGGTCGACGGCGGGGGGTGGGCCGGAAATGGAGATAGGGATGGAGAAGGAACGCGCATTTCAGTCGCCCGCCCGCCTGCAGCGCGAACGCCACTGCTGGCAGGCGCTCGAGACCTTAGTTCCACCAGACCCCCTCAGTGGCAATGGCCCGTGGGGGGGGTGAAGCAGCGTCGGACTCGACGCACGTGCCATCAGCTCACGTCGCGCAGCAGGAAGAGGAAAGAGGGGTTGGGGGAGGAGGACCGGGAGCAAGAGGAGGAGGAGGAGGAGGCGGAGCAGGAGGTGGAGGAGGCGGAGGAGGTGGACGAAGAGGTGCGGTTGGGCTCTGCTGTCTATGTAGGAAGTGTCGAACCCTTCTGCCTGGTGAGAACCGAGCCCGTTCGGGCCCGACGGCCGACAAAAGAAGGAGGGGAGGAGGAGGAGGAGGAGGAGGAGGAGGAGGAGGAGGAGGAGGAGGAGGAATGATGATAAGGAAAGCAAGGAATGATGATGAGGAGGAGGAGGAGGTTCAGGAGGACACGGGGGAGGCACGACCTGAGACCCGGGCGCTATCTTTTTATCACACTGGGCGTTTTCCGCTGCTTTCCGAGATCTGGGGCCATCATCCATCGATCATGCTCGAAATTTGCAGCCAGAAGATGGGTCCAGAGCACAAGTCTTGATCTCCCGTGATGTTGCAATGAGGCAACTTCGGATCTCCGGGTGGGGGGGGAGGAGCGGGGAGGAGGAGCGAAGAGTGGGCGTCAGGAGGAAGGATGATCAGGAGGACAAGGAAGAATGAAGAGGACGAGGGCAAGGGGGAGGAAGGAGGATGAGGAGGACAAGGGGGAGGAATTGAGGAAGACGCAGGAGGATGAGGAGGGGATGAAGAGAAGGATAATGAGGCTTAGGATGGTAATCGTGTTGAGAGGAAAAATGATGATGACGTTGATGATGTTGATGATGCTGATGCTGATGATGATGCTGATGACGATGACGATGATGAGGATGATGACGATGATGATGCTGCTGATGCTGATGCTGATGCTGATGACGATGATGCGAATGGTGCTAATGATGATGTTGATGATGATGTTGATGATGATGACGATGCTGCCGATGATGATGATGATGATGATGATGATGATGATGATGATGGTGATGGTGATGGTGATGGTGATGATGATTGTGATGGTGATGGTGATGGTGATGGTGATGGTGATGGTGATGGTGATTATGATGGTGATGGTGATGGTGATGGTGATGATGATGATGATGATGATGATGATGATGATGATGATGATGATGATGATGGTGATGATGATGATGATGATGATGATGATGATGATGATGATGATGATGATGATGATGATGAATGATGCGACAGAGCGGTTCTACCGCTGCTGGCGGAAAACCGGGGGGGGGGGTCACTGGGGTTCCCAACCCGTCCCCCCCCCCTTCGAAGTTCGAGGGGGGAGCCACTACCGGTTGAACCCTCCCCCTCCCCCCCCCGCCGTCCATCATGAAAAGGTGGGGGGGGGGTCACTACCGGTTCGACCCCCCCCCCCCCCTCCCCCCCCCCCCACCTCGCCGCCGGCAAACGATTCCCGCTCCTCGGGACAGTGGGACAGTGGTGGGGACACTGGGACTGGTGGGGACGGTGGTGGTGGGGACAGCGTGTCGCTCCGCCGGGTCTGGTCCGCCGCGCCTCGGCGCGACGCGCTGTCCTTCGGCAGCAGGTCATGGGAGCCCTTTGTGTACCCCCGCAGGTCTGTCTTTGCCGTCGACCCGCCTCGATGGGCCTCCGGGAGCCGATGGGGCAGCGCCGATTCGGCGCCGGCTAGAGCGCGCCGGCTAGAGCGCCGAGGAGCGTCGGTTTGCGTCGATCGAGCGTCGATGCACGTCGCTCCGTACGAGGCGACGGGATGGTCTGGGAGGCTCCCACGAGCAGCCACCGAGCTATCCAGGTCGCGGGAGGGAGGGAGGGAGGGAGGGAGGGAGGGAGGGAGGGAGGGAGGGAGGCGTCCGCGCCCCCCGAGCTTTCCCCTGAGCCGCTCGCCCCGCGGAGCGGGGCGGCGCGCCATCGCCCCGCGGTGCACATCCGCTTGCCGCCGGGGCCGCCACCGCGACGCGCTGAGCAGAAGGCTCCTAGAGGCTCTGGGCACGCGCTTAGGGTTCAGAGGAATAGACGTTGCAACGATAGACGAATCAATAGGCTTCCTTCCCCGAAGATTTGGTTTCCGGACGAGCAGTTCATGAATGCAGAGAAGTACGCCAAGATCACCACGGAGAAAAAAAGCAGACCGGTTTCCCTTACAAGACGGAGCAGAGCTTCCCAGCAGACCGGTTTGGCAGCATCGAGCGGAGTCTCAGGAAAGGGCCCCACGGTGGGGGCCCGTGCCAAGAAGCACCATGCTTGCCTCCAGGGTGCCCTGGCTCTCTTGGGTCTTGATGGTTCTGCAGTGGAGAGCGTGACGCTCCCACTCCAAAAATCGATCGACGGACGTCCTGGGGTCTCAGGATTGGGTTTCTTGTGGAAGGTTTCTTGTGGTCAGGCCTCTATGTCATGTTGAAAAGGAGTCGCCGTCCATCCGTGTAGCTGTCGCACAGTGTTGCACTTGTGATCATACTTGTGCGAGGAAGTCTCAGGCCAGATCCACATTCTGAAAAGAGTAGCACCGGCCCTTCATTCATCTAAGCTTCGTGATCGTAGTTTTCAAGGAAGGCTGAAGCGAACCGCCCAGTCAGGTCTACGGACACGTCTACCGATTCGACCGGGTCGAGTCATTTACAAGGTTGAGGGATGGAGGAGGGTTGGCGGATGCAACACTCCAGCCCGTGCGTTTGCTGGTCGCTGCCATCCGGAGTTCCCCAGGCCAGTACGCGCCTGAGCACCTCAGACGAGAAACCGAGAAGCCGAGGGAAGAGGGAGATAACGAGGGAGGAGGACGACGGGGACGACGACGGAGAAAGATTGTGGAAGGAGTAAGAGAGGACGGCTCTTGAGATGCGACGTTGCGAACACATGCAAGTTCGCGAAACATCACGACCTGTGCCCTAGACACCATCTTGCTGTGGCATTTTCTGAGCCGCCTCGGTCCGTGATGGACCCAGGGGTCGAGATTGGATGAAGACGCCCAGTGCGACAATAATCACAGGGCCCGGACTTCAGGAAGCAGAGCGGCGACGACGAGGTCGACGACGACGACAACGCCGCCGCTGCTGACGACGACGATGATGAGGAGGAGGACGACGACGATGATAATGATGAGTGAGGACGACGACGACGAAGACGACGACAACGACGCCGAGGAAGGCACCAACGGCGAGGAGGCGCTCCCCAGCGCGAGGCGCCCGAGGCGAGGAGGCGGCTGTTCCGCGCCTCGGACGGCGCCCTCGGCCGCACCTGGGCGGCCGAGGAGGAGGCCTCGCACCCCGCCGCGGCCCTCCCGTTGGGAGGGAGGGTGGGAGGAAGAGGAGGAGGAGGAGGAGGAGGAGGAGGAGGAGGAGGAGGAGGAGGAGGAGGTGGAGGAGAAGGAGGAGGAGGAGGAGGAGGAGGAGAAGGGTGAGGAGGATCAGGAATTATAGGAGGAGGAGGGGGAGGACGACGAGGAGTAGGGCGAGGAGGAGGAGGAGGAGGAGGAGGAGGAGGAGGAAAAAGAGGAGCTCCGCGGCAATGCTCCCAGGAGGGCTCCTCGGCGTGTGGGCGGCACGTCGGGGCTCCCTGGGGAATTTACATCCGCCAAGACGTCGCCTGCGCAGGGGCGGCGCGGCGGGCCAGGGGCGTTGGTGCCCTGGCGGGCCTGGGGCGGCCCCCCGACTCTGCCGGGTGGTCCACGCGTGGAGTCGGTCTGCCGTCCCAGGTCCCTTGGGGACCCGACGTTTTGGGGCCGCGTGGGTATCCCCCGAGGGCTGGCGCGGACTGGTTCTCCAGTCTGCGTCGGCCTGCGTGCTACCAGCCTATGCGGGGGCTGGCTCTGGCCACTGTTGGGACCCGCCCCTGACGTTGGGGTGTCGGGTGTGGCCAGATCGGCTCTCGTGGAAAGTACGGCTCAAGACGTGTACCGCCTGGCCCCCCTTGGGCAAGGGGGCCTGTGGGGGCGGGCCAGGTTACCCATGTGCGGTAACACGCGCCGTGTGCCCCGCACGGTGACGTGGGGTAACCTGTGTCCCTTGGCGCAGATAGAACCAGGGAGGCATGGGGGCCGCCCGCCATCGGCGGGTCGGTGGAGCTCATGGAGCTCCACATGGTGAGCCTGGCGCCTCTTCTCTTCCTTTTCTTCTCTCTTCTTCCCTTTTTCTTTCTCGGGCCCCGCCAGGAGCGCGCGGCCCTGAGTGCTCGCACGTGTGTAGATATGTACGTGTGCATGGACGCGTGGATGCGTGAGCGTGCGTGTGTATGTATGCACGCAGGCATGCGCGCAAATATGCACCATTTGGGCTCGAACTTTGGTGCCCCAAGCCGCCTCGGCTCCAGTTTGCCGGTGATGATTGTCATGTACATGCAGCGATATTCAGTTCACGCTCGCGCCCGCCATGCTGAATGAACATTCGGGATTTCGTTCTCCATTGTAGCGTTCTGCCGCTGGGTTGCGTCCCTTTCGCTGCGTACCGCGCGCGACCACGTCATAATGCATGCAGCGCCGTTTTGGACGAACGCAGCTTAAGCTTTGTCGCGCAGGCATGGCACCTGACGGTTCAAGACAGCCTGACATCTACATCGTTAGATTCAGCAGTGATTTGTCTAGGCGCCTGTGTCAATGAGACAGCCTGCGATTTTAACGAGCGTGTTCAACGGTCGCATATTGACGTGGCTTATTGACAGGTCTGCGCATCACACATCCGAAACACATGTGCTGTTACATTGTGTTGTTACATTGTAGCCGGCAACATCACAAGCCCGCCACCATTGAACGGATGCGACCACCAGCTTCGCGCACTAAGCGTCCAGTGCCGTGACATTTTTGTTACGTCGTTTGTTCATCAGTTGCACCGTTTGGGTTCCCAACACGAGGAGTGGAAACGCAACCCGTGGCAGAATTGCCAAACGAGTCTTGCTATAAGTGTTAGGGCTGATGATGATTTGGGCGAAGTGGCGCCGGTTCAATGTCATCTTGTTGCTAATCTGCCGATGTACATATAAGATACACATATGCACAGAGTTTACCAGGCGCCTTCATCATGTTCAGCAGATTTCCAGGCGCAGCAGCGTGTGACTTTGCGATATAGGGGCGATCCGACTGCGAGGGAACGAGGCTCGTTCTTCTTGTTCCTCCCTTGTTCTCCTTCGTTTCCTCTGCCGTCAATTCCCCTCTGCGCCGCCGCTTCGGTGTCACAAGTCTTCGGTTGCACGTTCCATCGAGCGGGTGCAATCACTTCACGTTTACCCTGTTCAGTTGCGCGGTCGATGGCGGGGGTCGAGAAATGCGAGGGAACGAAGCATTCAATAATACAGACATGTTGCGCCCTATCAAGTTCGAGTAAACCTTTTGTTTTGTTTTGGCCGATGGGGTTATCTTGCGTAGCAGCACGCTCGCCCATTTAGGCAGGCGATGTTCTTCAAAGGCTGCGTCATCCGTAATGCGCGCATACCGTAGGCTTCAAGGGACATCGCTTTAACTACATGGCGATCTGACAAAACCTGCGTGGCCTGCAGCATGCGATCAGTTTTCAGACTAGACAGAGTGTGCGTACTAGATGAGCCCCCCCCCATCCGACATTGCCCCCCCGACCGCTCTGCTGACGAACGGTCTACCTCACGCCGTCTTCCCCGATTGGGGCGTGCATGCAGCACTCGGGCCGCGTGTGTTTTTACTTTGCGCGCGGGAGGTGTCCAGTCCCTTCGGTGACAAGGCATTGTGGACATAGGTACCTCTCAAGGACTAGCCCTTGCTCAAACATGTTTTGAGCTGGCACCAGTTCACACGTGGGTTTTGGTGCGCGCGATTGGTTGAACGCATTCCTGGAGTTGCTCTTGGCTTTCAAAACGGGTCGCCCCGTTGCTGATCTAGGGTGTTGGCTGATGCATTCATGTGGGCATTTGCCCAGGGCTTCGCCAAACCGAATGAAGGTGAGACCGTGGCACTAGCAAGTGTCTTGATTATGTGGACGAGCTTGAGTGGAAGATCGCTGACGGACGCATGCAGGCAGCGCCAGGCAGCTTCACTTGAGCAGACCCTGTGCGCCTGCAGCCCGCTGGGTTGTCCCAGACGGCGTTTTTCTGCGCGCCAGCGGCCCGCTGGGTTGTCCCAGCGGCCTTCTCCCGCGCGCCGGCGGATCACGGGGGTCTGTCCCCGCGGTTTGGCCTGGCCCCAAGCCGAGGTAGAAAGGCGGGTGGCTCGGCAATTCGTCATCGAGTGCCTCCTGGCATTTCGAAGCGGAAGGCTGTTGTCGCTTCAACGTCCTTGACGCTCCAGGCCCTATATCTGCCATCCTCCGATCCTCCTCCTCTGCCCTCCCGCCGCAGCCCTGCTTAGCGTTCCCTCCCACCGCAGCCCTACGCAGCGATCCCTCCCGCCGCGCCGCGCGCGGGGCAGTCGCACGCGGCCGCCAGCTAGGCCCCCCTCTTCCGTCTCCGCCTCCGCCCCCCCCGCAACAACCGCAAACGTTCTCACGACGATGGCGAGTCCTCTGATGCAGACAAAGGAGATTATCACGCGCGGCCTTGTTACCGTCGGAATGTTGGTTGCTTGTTCGCTGGGCGCGCTGTTTGTTTTCCTCGTTCCTCCTATTCCTTCCCCTCCATTTCTTCTCCTTATAGATAACTCTTCCCTGTCGCACCCCGAGGTCAGTTTTTAGAGCGGGCCGGGCGTTTCGCCTGAGACTTCCTCACCATTCATGATTCTGAAGCTGAAGTACTGACAACATTTTCACAGATGGAGGGCGGGTGGTTTTCATCATGTGGCTCTCGCCTTAGCGCCGCGCACATTCGCTTTAAAACTTGCAAGAGCTTCGCCGATTGAGGGCGGGTGGTTTTCAACATGTGGCTCTCGCCTTGGCGCCGCGCGTATTCGTTTTAAAACTTTGCGGGCGCTTCACGGATTGAGGGTGGGTGGTTTTCAAAATGTGGCTCTCGCTTTAGCGCCGGCACGTTCGTTTCGAAAATGCAAGAGGTGCACGGATTGAGGGCGGTTCTTTTTCAACATGCGGCTCCCGCCTTAGCGCCGCGCATATTCGTATTAAAACGCTGCAGAAGTTTCACGGATTAAGGGCGGGTGGTTTTCAAAATGTCGCTCTAGCCTTAGCGCCGCGCGCATTCGTTTTAAAACTTTGCAGAAGCTTCACGGATTGAGGGCGGGCCGTTTTCAAAATGTGGCTCTCGCCTTAGCGCCGCACACATTCGTTGTAAAACTTTGCAGAAGCTTCACGGATTGAGGGCGGGCCGTTTTCAAAATGTGGTTATCGCCTTAGCGCCGCACGCATTCTTTGTAAAACTTTGCAGACGCTTCACGGATTGAGGGCGGGCCGTTTTCAAAATGTGGTTCTCGCCTTAGCGCCGCGCGCATTCACTTCAAAACGTTGCAGGAATTTCACGGATTGAGGTCGGTTCTTTTTCAAAATGCGGTTCTCGCTTTAGCGCCGTGCGCAATGGTTTAATAGGTGGCAAGAGTTGCACGAATTGAGGGCGGTTTCTTTTCGCTCTCGCCTTAGCGCCGCGCGCATTCGTTCTTGTTTGTTTCTGATGCAAGAGTTGCACGGATTCCCATGATCAGCGAACGTACCAGACATTGTGTTTTGGAAGGGTTCAGGACTATGCGGGTGCAACCGTTTTATGTTGATTCGCGGTCTTAGAGTCCCACAAATGGCACTCTGGCACGATTTTGGATCGTCAAGACGTAGCAGTCTCGTTGATATGTGGCGTTGAAATCCCAAAAACAATGTGTTGGCATGCTTCAAGATCTTCAAACGGTTGTCTTCCAACGAGGCAGTTCCTTCAATGGAAATAAACCGTTGTGGGGGCCTATGAAGAGGGAGCTTGGAGGGAGGGTTAATTCCAACATTGTTGATGACTCTTGGTTCCTCCTCCTCCTCCTGTCCTCCTTCTTTTCCGGCCCCTCCGCGCTCTTTGTCACCCGTTCTCGCCGCTGGGTCCCGTTGGATGATTAAAAAATGTGTTGGCTGCTGGTCTCGATGCCAGGGAATGGTCAAGCACCGGCCGTTCTGATTCCTCAAGCCGCTGGATCTCCGCAGGTCATTCCTCCTCCCAGGCCTCCGTGGAGGGGTGGGGGCTGCGACCATCCGAGGAGCAGGAGGAGGTCGGCCAGCGCGGTATTCAATTGGTGTGCTTGTGTGTGTGTGCGTGTGTGTGTGTGTGTGTTTGTGTGTGTATGTTTGTGTGTATGTTTGTGTGTGTGTTTTTGTGTGTGTGTGTGTTTTGTTTTGTGTGTGCGTGTGCGTGTGTGCGTGCGTGCGTGCGTGCGCGCGT